CCCCAAAACCCCAAAACCCCAAAACCCCAAAACCCCGACCCACCGCTCACTAATTGAATTAAGGATATTTATAATATATTATAAGTTTTATAAGTTGTCTCCAGTCTCAAAAGTTTTATTTTCAGATTTCTTAGTAAAATAGTCTAAAGAAGCCAGAATAACTTCTGATTGCCAATGCTTGCTTGCTTTTAAAGCATTAAGTCAAGATTTATAGAGAATATAATTCAGTTTAATTAATTTTGCGAAGAATAGTCATAAAAACCTTCAAACATTATTTTCTTATCTCCCAGGCTCTCAAATTTGCCTTATAAAACAAAGATTTGCATTTAAATTTACTTGTGATATTTCCTGGCTTTCTTCTGGTCATCTTGATTCATAAGGGTTGCATAGTTTTTACACACTAAATCTAAAACTATGTAAAAAGGCTGCCTTATCTTTCGAATTTATTAACTGGAGTACAAACTAAATGGTCTGGAGAATTGAGCTCCTTTCGCCTATATCTTTGCTTTGAGATAAATATAAGTCCTGTCTTGACTCAAATGGACATCAATTAAATTTGTATCCAAATAATTTTTAGTGAGCTCTCTCCTTGCCAAATTAGGACCCACACATAGGACATGCTGAATTATTAAGTTAGCCCAATAGGACCAGTAAAGGGCATCTTTTGAGCAAGATTTCATCAAAAGTGCTCTTCCAGTGATCCTGTTCTCCTTTGAGAATTGAAAGAAGAAAAGTTATTGGATAAATGCAAATTTTATGGTTATTGTTGCTGACATTATAATTCATAGATAAGAATTTTTATGTCTAGGGTTAGAAATATCTTAGTCAATAATGGCTACAAGTTAGGGTTTCCAAAAGAGACCTTTGTCATCCTCACAAGGGTTTATTTCTAAAATATAGGCTTACGTTTAAACTTAGCAGATTAAATATTATTTGGTACTCGTTGCTCAAGGATTTTCAAAATTTAGGTATAAAATCTCCGAAGATCTTTTCATATGATAGTTAACAAGTTCTTCAGATGAGGTAGGGCTTGTGATTAGCTTGAGGATTGCTAGATTCTCAAAACTTTAATCGTTATAATTCTTCACTAAATCCTTTAAAGATGCAGAAATGCTTTTAGTGTTTGGTAATTTTGGAAGGAGCCATTGTAAGAACTTAATTTTTGCTTTATTCTTTGCCTTTTTAATCCTCTCTTATACTCCTCCAATAAAAATAAGTAGAAATAGGTAGAAGATCCTACAAAAGCAAAATAAATAAAAATTTTCCTACATTCTCACAACAAAGCTAATAGGCGTGTTTTATAGACTCATTTAATTTCTTTCGTGGAACCCTTCATACGATTAACTGTCTAAAAGGACCAAAATTTTATCTTTGATAGGCAGGTGTATGGTAAATTTTAAGAGTTAATACTTTTTTGAGTAATTTTTGTTCTATAGCATATGAATTATCAATAAAATAACACTCTATTATTATCGCATAATTTTTATTCCCACATTGATTTTTTGGCAGATCAGCAACCCTGGATTGTTTGTCCAGACATCATGCATATCTTCAGAATTTCCAGTAACAAAGAGCCGTAATTTGTAAATTCAGGAGTTTGAAGAGGGTATTATTAAAAGTTAATGAATTTTATGGTTCCAGCCATTCTTATCTTATCAGCTATTTATGGTCCAAACCATCAATAATTTTCTAAAGTTTAGCTAAATGTAAACTTCTATAAAAAATTTTATTGTGTGTAAAAAATTGATGGTGGTAATTTGAGAAAGGTATTTATTGCCAAACTTTTATCATAAAATTAAAGAAATTAAACGATGAATGCTCTCACCTCAAACATCCTGATGTTTCAGATTTTAGATGTTCAAATTGGCTGGATATTACTCCCTATCATTTCGTAGATTGTCATAAGAATCAAAAATATTGAGATGTACAATTTAAAGTAATTTTCATTAGTAAAACTAAGGTGGTATCATCAATAAATAATATCATCTTCCATTTATTACATTTTTTGTAAAACGCTATTGTATATTTCATACTAATGCGCTACCAAAGCTCTCATGTTCATTATATTTTTATTAATAATAATAAAATGATTTTAATCCAATAAATAACCCAAAAATCGGGGTTTTGGGGTTTTGGGGTTTTGGGGTTTTGGGG